TATAAAAAAAAAAAAAAAAAAAAAAAAAAAAAAAAAGATGTATCAAATAACTATAACTTCGCATTTTCTGTGGAACTCCAGCCTTCAGTCCTGTTTTAGTTACTTTTTTGCTAAGGATAGATTTCAGCATTAAGTGCCAGCCTTAACTGGGACTATAAGCATGTGCTTTTAAATCCGCTCCAACCAAGCAGCACAACTAAAATGGGAAAACACACTTCACCAAAAAGAGTATCTCAAAAAGCAAAAGCTACTCCATTCTTCTTTATTGCACAAGGTTTTACAACAGAATTTGCAATCTAAATTATTTGCCACCTTTGCAAATAATAAGTAACAAGTAGAAACATGTATCAAAAGAAGTTCCTTAGTTGATCAAAGAAACATTAGAGATGTTGGATATTACAAAACACAAAAATAGTCAATGCAATGGCAAATATCATTTTGATGGATGAAGATGGTAAAAAGTCAAAAAATTATACATTCCATGTTTTTGTAGGTCAGTATTTCAGATAAGACTGTAACACTAAATTTACTGGGTTTTTTAAATATTAAATTCAGACATAAGTGGTATTCTTCATAATACAATCCTTTTAGGCAGGCAAGTAGTAATAACCAGCTCCTTGAACTTCAAGTCATTGAAGTTGCCCATCACACCAAGTATCCTTAACAAGGATCCTTTACAGGGGCCTTCAGCTTATTTCCGCTTTGCCCAGACAGGCTGTGAGAACACTGTGGAAATCTTCCATAATTGTTTATAAACTGCATCACTTCCAGATTTTGCATCAGATGCATTTCAGAGCATAAACACCAGCCCCTCTCCCCAAAAAACCAGAATCTGAGTTCCTCTTTTTGCTCAAATCCGAAGGAAATGCTGCTGAAGAACCACATTTTTTGCAATGTAATTGATTGCCAGAATGTAATCGAGATTTAGGATATACATCATATATGAATGCTAATTTCTTAGGTGAATATTGGATTTGTTGCTGCTCTTCAGTTACTGCTGTTCTCAATTTAATCAACGACTCCACCAACAGAAATAATTTTATTCAGAAAGGAAAATATAATTGGTTTAGAAATGCCTACTGTAGAGGCAGAACTACATTATAAATTAACATTCTTATGCACTTCACACTCAATATTAAACCTTGGGGGTTTAATCTGTAATCACAAGAATGACAATATACCTTAGAAGGGCCAGAGATAGGATGTAAAAAAAAGTGAAAGACATGCAAGTACTGGTGACAATGGTCTCTGTAACAACACCATGCCAAGACTGGTACTGGCCATGACAGGAGGGCTCACTCTCAAGTCATACTGGAATACACTGGTGTTACTCCTCCATGCTATGAGGAGGAAGCAGGGGTGAGAAAGCAGAAATTTCAACATTCATCCATTTACAGGCAATCACTCACTTACTTATAATTGCCTGGGAGTCCCCTTAGAATTAAAAAGTGGGAATTGAAGCTGTTGTGACAAAGCCATAAACAAATAAGCCTGATGGTACCACTGTATTTTTCTGGATCTGTCAGTCATGAACCTTTTGTATTCACTAAATTAATTTTTTAAAATGTGCTCACTAAAAACTGGGCAAATTGCTAAAGGCAGAGGTTGACTTAGGTTCCTGTGCTATATTGTCAGACTGAACTATTTTTAAAAAAATAAAACAGCAGACACACAACTCTTCAGCTAAGCAGACTGTGATTACACTGATGTGATAGACTCAATTACTTAACTGCCAGGGGGCCTAATGCTGCTCATACAGACAGAAGGAAAATTACACATAAAATTATTGGAAAATTCAAGACATCTCTTGATAACTCAAGAATTATTTTATTATTTTATTTTCTCTTCAGATGCTCATTAAAAGCAAAACAAGATCTTTTTGGGCAGCCGTAAGACAAATTCAGATAAATAATAAAATAAGGATTTTCTGGCCAAAGTGCTACAAGGACAATTCACAGTTAAAAATAAACAAACAAACAAAAAGAGCTAAACAGCCAGAAAGGGTTACTATGCTTTAGACACATAATTTAAAATACAAAAAATATGCCTCAGTATTTGCAAATCAAGTATTGGCAAGCCATTATGTAAGCTAGATGCAAAATAAAATCCCAAGCTATTTTTGATAAATCAACAGAAGTTGTGCTTCAACATAGCTCTTGCTGACTTTACTGATACAAAGATAGAATATTCTGGGTTTACAGTAATACTGCAGATCCTACTGCCTAAGGGTTGGTGATATGGAAAAGAAATTGTTTAAAACCACACTGGCCAGAGACTGGTTTCTTTTAATATTTGTTTCATGTACCACAGAATTATATTTCTGAGTCACTGACTTGAAACAGAAAGTGAAACTCTGCAAAGATTTGTGACCCAAGGCCCCATCTCCTACATCTCAGCCTCAGCCTAGAACCTTGCTCATGGGGATATTTGCATGGGAAACAGGGATAACTGCTACCGAAATACCAGTAACAACATGACTTGTCTTGAGGCAGCTGCTAATTCCCCATCCAACTCCAGGCCACACTGACACTATCGAGGATGTCCATGATTCCAGCAGAACACCGTTTACCCACTTGACAAAAATTTCTACAGATCGTGTCAAAATACAGACTACAGGTCTTTTATTTACAAGCATCTTTTGAAAGATGTTTAAAATTTGTATTTCACCAGGATTCATTCATAAACCAGGATCACATAAAATCAGGATTATCCCAAGGTGGTGCTTACATAGATGCAGATTAACTATTTCAGTACAGGATTTCAGAGCAGCAAGCAATAAAGCTATTTCTGGCAGAGACAGCCCTTAAAACATTTTCACATCACCACTCACAATAACAATTCATGCCTGATGGGAATGACTGGGCTTTACTACATCCTAAAATACAGAGACAAGATCACTGCAAACAGCTCTGACTCAAATGCTGAGATTCAAAATAAATGGACAAAAAAACCTACCAAAATGCACACAGCAATAATTAGAAGCAAACAAAAAGTACAGAACCTTGATGCTCCAACCTGAGGATACAGAAATCATTTTAGTAACAGATTGCTTATATGCCTACAATGCTTCTTTCTTTCAGAGTGTTTTGGTTATTAAATATCAACACAAAGCACTGACCGAAACATTGCTAAATACATTTTTGTACTACAAGGAAACTCCAGCTTCCATTATTTCATGGAACCTCTTTTTATTTCCAGGTACCATCATGGACAGTCTCCTATTCTAAACAATATGCCAGCTATTCATAACCCATGGGAAAAGAAAATAAAACCAACCCCCCTACAGCATTAATTTACTCAAACAACATTTTCAAAAGCCACCTGTATTTCTGAACAAAAGATCCAGGGCATCTCAGTAATCTTTTCGTCTAGCACATTATTTTAAATTATCCCTTTCTGGCGACTACCCCGGCAGCAAGAAGACCCACAAGCAAATGAAGATGAGCCACAATATGAGAGAACCTCCATGGAAAATGTAGCTTTGTTTTCTAGGAACCGTATACAAAATTACCTCCACATTTACTTCACCTAAAAGCCTGGGTAAATCCAGGCCCACACTCACGATATCCAAGCATTTACCAACACAGTGAACACATCAAGCTCTCCACACTCACTGCTGGATGCTCACACATCCCTCGCACCCGGCACTTGGAACCATACCCCAGGCGATACAGCTTTTACTGCAAGGTATCCGACATCTCAGAAGGTAAAGGCCAACCACAATACGGAGCTCTCGTTCCCCAGAGCGCGAACTCAAGCGCTCCCCTCAAGCTGCTCAGGCCACAACAGCTGCAATTCCCCATCCTGAGGGCACGTACAGACCGACACAGGGGACAGACAGCCGATTCCCTGAGACCTCCCCTCTTCCCCGCAGGCACATAGACCGCAGCACCTTCCCTCCGCCGCGTACCGAGCCCTTCTCCTCCCCGCACAGCCCGGGCACACCGACAGCGCCAGCACGGCTCCCACGACCCCGGGGGACAGGGGCTTCCACAGCCCGGAACACCGAGCACCACGGTGCGCGGCCAGGCGGTACAGAGAGCCCTCTGCCCGCACAGCCCTGTGCCCCCGCACACACAAACACACACACGGAGCCCTGTGCCCTTCCACACTCACTCACACACACCCCTCTGCTTTCGCTCAGAGCCGCTCACACAGAGCCGCTCGCCCCCCACCTCCCCAGGCACCTCCGGGTCCCCCGCTCCGCTCGCACACAGCGGGCTCAGCGTGCCCCGCTCACAGCCCACACCTGCACGGACGCTCGCCCCACACTCGCGCGGCAGAACCGGCCCCCAGCGCGCCCAGCGGGGCAGCTCCGACACCGCAGCCCCGCATCCTCCAGAGCCCGTCCCGGTGCCTGCAACGGAGAGCCCCGCAAACGCGGAGCCTCCTCACTGCCCTCGCACAGCGCGGTCCCCGCTCCTCACCCAGAGCGGCCGCTCCCGTGTCACCCCCTCGGCTGCCCCCACAGCCCTCCCCTGACATCGCGGGGACCCCCCCGCTGCATCCCCGGGCCCCGCACCCGCCACCGCCCGGCCCCGGCGGCCACCACAGCGGCTACAAGACCCCGGCCTCAGCGCCGGCCCCGCAGCGGCCCCGCAGGACGCCCAAAGCCCCGGGCCGGCACTGCCAGGGCCCCCTCACCTGCTTGCGTGGTGTCGCTCAGGTCGCAGCCGCTGCCGGGGAAGTCGCGCAGCTTCCTCCCGCTCAGGCACAGGATGCCCGAGCTGCCCGCCTCCTCCAGGGCCCGCTCCAGGCTGCGCACCGTGTGCGACTGCGGCAGAGCTGCCGCGCCCCAGTGCGGCCCGGACGAGAAGGAGAGAGTGAGGTGCGCGGGGATCCCGAGCCCCGCCGCTCCGCTCCCGGGCGCCGTCCCGCTCCCGCTGCCGGTGCCGTTGTTGCCGCCACCGCCCCCCTGCCCGGCCGCCATCTTGACCGGCCCCTCCACAACAACGGCCGGGGCCGCTGCGCAGGCGCCGCGGGGCCCGCAGGGGGCGCCGCGGGATGGGGCGGGGCTTCGAGGCGCCCCTCGCCCGCGACAACCAATCCGCGGCGGCGACGGCGCAGGGGGGCGGGGCTTCACGGGGATGGGCGTACGGCTGCGTGCCCGAGGGCTCGTGTGCCGCTAGGGGGCGCTGCGGGGGTTGAGGGAGCGGGCTCGGGCTCGGGATCTTCTTGGCGACGGGGGCATCCCGGGAGCGGAGGGAGCCCGGGAGGGAGAGTCCCGCAGCCGGGACGGGAGCGGGCGAGGGCGCGGGGGACCCGTTCGGGAGGGCGCGGCTGCGGGGAGGCTTCGGAGCCGAAGGAACACGGGGAACATCGGCTCGGCAGCCTCGGCGCCGCTGCGAGCGCGGCTCTGCCCGCTGCCTTCGGGCACCGCTGGGCCCTGCCCGCTGCCCTCGGGCACCGCTGGGCCCTGCCCGCTGCCCTCGGGCACCGCTGGGCCCTGCCCGCTGCCCTCCTGCCTCGGCTCGCCCAAGTGCTGTGAA